AGGAATGCCAGTTTTTTACAGAAAAATTCACAAATCCCTAAAAAAAACAAAAACACCAAAAGGCCAGTGTTTTTTAGCTAGCAGCAATATAAATAGCACTTTAACCAATTTAATGATTTAATTTATTTTTTATTTTATTTTAGAAAGCAAAAGCTGTGCTATTGTGGCATGGGCAATACATAAGAACAGCTCAGGAGAAAAATAAAAATAACTCCTCTCATCTTGAGGCTGTGCATATATAAAATTAAAACTAAATCTTCATTATTTGCTGCCTTGTCAAATTTATGGTTGACTTAAAGATTCAGGATATATTTTCCTACAGATGAAAGCACAAGATCATTATATTGAACCTGTTTTGGAACATACAATAGGTCCAAGATTGTTCAAATAAAATATTGAAATAAATGCAGCCCAGGATTCATTCTCTTTGGAGCTGAGATACTAAGGCCATCAGCTGAAGTGCGCTTTAGGTTCCCCTATCTTCAGACACTTCTGCTCATGTAAAGTCCCACTGACTTGGGGAGGAGAAAAACTATCTGAATATTGCTAAGCCACCCCCTCTTTTCATTAGGCAAATAGGGGTGCCTATACACAAGCAGTGAGGCTGCTCCAATGCACTGTAATTACAGTGGGTCAGAGCAGACTTGATTAATCAAGTCTGCTAGAGCACGGAAATTACCGTGCTCCAGCAGACTCTGGCGTTTCATGTATAAGTAAAGCTCATTCAATGAGCATTAGTTAAAGTGCCCCCTGCCGCCATTTTTAAGTGTGGGGATGCTGATACATGAGACGCTTCAGGCACTTTAATTAGAGTGGCTCTTAGAGCTCCTCTAATTAAGGCGCTCTGCACCCCACTCCTGGAGCACATGTGTAAACACCCACAGGACTGTAATTTTAAATGATTTCAGCCACCCATGCTGGGTTCTGCAGTTCAGCCGTGTGGCAGCTGAAATTATGTCTGTGTAATAAAGGTGCTTGCTGAAGGCTCTATGAAGATTAGACTAAGTGTTTTTCTGTATTTGTTTAGATATTAAGCTATATGTTGTTGCTAAAAGCCTAATTAAAGTCTAAGATGTAGTGAAGCCTTGTATAAAGTAAGGCCTAGTAAATTTAGCAAAGCCTTGAAGTAGTAAGGCCCTGTGGCGTAGTTAAAATTACCTTACCAAAGGAATGCAAGGCTTGTACTGCTATTTGTCAGTCTAAGGACAGTTGAAGTAAAAGGAATTTGAGTGGTTGTATGTTATCAGAACCATTCAGAAGCTTTAAATTGGCTGGAATATCTAGAAACCATTCAGAAGGAAGATACAGCTCTGTGAAAAGGTTAGATAGCTGTTGCTTGGATCAGTGGGCCCGTGGACCTCAAGGAGCTCAAGAACTGCATTCCAGGGTCCTTCCCGGTACCCTTTGGACAGCATTGTTTAGGGACGCCTGACTTCACTGAACTTTGTGGAAAGAGAAGCTTGCTGTGTATCAGGCATCAGAGGAGACTGCCGATAAGTTGCCGACGCAAATTGCTTTTGTCTGTCATTGTTTGTTTGTTACTACGCATAGTTGTATTTTTGTTAAATCAATAAACCTTTCTTACCTTTCTACCCCCGACCATACTCTCAATCCCTGAACGCTCCGCAGGTGATGGGACACAGCCACACCTTGTCAGATAAACTGTGAAGAGTGGTGTTTGTACAGCATGCTAACACTCAAAGACCTAACATGGCAGTTCACCATTCGGGATGACAATGGCACATGAGGTACCAGCCACAAGAAGTAGCATAGCAGTCAGAAGAGCAGCAGAGATGGATGCTATTTTTGTGCCCCCTTTCTCTCACCTCCTAAAAAAATCAGTGCCCAGGGTTGGTGAACCAATTCCCGCCCCCACTTTAGTTATGCTACTGCTAGCGCTTTCAGGCCTTAAATCATCAAACAGCAAGAACAGCATCATCCCAAGACTCAAGTCTTCTGCCATTTTGGTATGGACCTGGAACATGATTGTACAGAGTAAGGTTTTGCTGAGTAGCAACCCTCTCCTCATTTCTGTTATTCAGAGTGATAAATTAGAGAAGTAGGTATTCTGATCTAGCTACCTTAGCATTTTGTACAGCTTCTGGTCTGTATACTATCTCAGTACTTCCCTGTAAAATTGATAGCAATAACAAAGCCCTTCAAGAACTTGATGGTGTCCCCATTCTTCTCCCTTTTGCCAGGATTGCTGGCCCTGAGTGACTGTTTCCTGACATGCACCAGATCAACGAACGTTACAAGATGAAGGTTTGCTCTCTTTTTCAGGAGCTTTCTGAAAGCTCAGTCTCAGTCAGTAGTAGCCCTATGTGTGCTTTGCTGCCTTAGAGGCACAAGTACAATTTGCTTGGGATGGCACAGATGTTTCCCTTGATCTTTGAGCACCTAGGTAATACTGTAGCTCCTAGTCCAGGATAGCTTTTGCTAACCTTTGCAGATGCTGGGGCAAAGAAGAAAGGTTTCTTCTGAGCCTCCTTCAAAGCAGTGACATAGGATCGTCCATAGGATCATAGAAGGTCTGCTGGCACAAGTACACCTGAGAGTACAACTGGATACTTCACTAAGAAGAAATTGTTCCTAGCTGGTGAAATTCATAAAAGGCTGTGGGGAACCCATAGGGAAAAATTAAATCTTGATACAATTTTTCATGCATATATTTTGTCCCTGGTTATAAGCAGAAACTCTCAAAGCCTGCAGCAAGCTACATAGTTTGCATACATGTGGGTCTGAATTATCCCTATTTTCTCAGTAATGTATCCTTCTTAAACCAGTTATGCAGCTTTTCTGCAGGAATTACAGGCATCTAATTTTTGGTTGTATTATATGAGCAATAGGCATCACATGGCAATAGACAATCTGGCACAACCATGTAATTTCTCCTTTATATTACTTATTTATATGGAATTCTCAAGTACATACCTGGGTCATTGAGAGTTCAGTGCTTCTTAGAGTGGATTTAGTTTAGTAAATATTTTATGTCGTCTGAGATGTTCACTAGATGAGATATTACTGTGAACAAATTTTGGTTGATTATTTATTAGAGAGCAAATAGGCGAAAGACATCATTAACAGATTGAAGCACCTGATTTGATGTTGTATGTTTACAACGATGCAAAACCAAACATTATTCAAAGATACTTGATTCAACAATCAGTTGCTTTTTAATTGAGGAATGGATTTGCTGTAATTCTAAAGTGTTCACTTAGGGGGTTTCTATTTAATTCAGTGCATCATGCAGGTCATTGACTGCAGTATGAAGAGCACATGCAAATAATTACATACTTTTTAATCGTTACCAAAATAAAGGCTAGTAAAAAATCTGAATTGTGAGGTTTTTTGATAAAAAATGACAAATTAATAATGAAAATATTCACAAAAATGTCCCCATTTTTCATCCAGTCCTAGGTATAACTCCCTGTGACTGTCTTGAGATTGCCAGTCTTTATGCCACTGTAATGAAATTAGTTGGCTGAGTGAAGCAAATGTGTACCTGATACATAATTTATTTGCATGTTCCTGTATACTATATATGTATTATAATAATAATAATAATGTAATATATATGTAATATATCCAAATGACTCCCCCCTTTCCACCTTATGCTCTCCCTTCCTGTTCCTCCCCGCCTTCAAACCAAACCATGAACATCATGACAGTTTCACATGACATTTCTAACAGGCAAATGTGAATTTTAAAGACTGGTTTATGAAGAATTTTGAGTGTTTGACATTTAAAAATAATGAAATTTGATTACTCCAAATCAGCATGAAATATGCTGGTGAAGTTCTCTGCATGCAAGTTTCAGTGGTACCCATTATGCCCAGACCCAGTAATTAGGTGACTATCTGCAAGTGATACCACAACCCCCCAAATTTATATAATACATCTCTATAAAGAGACCTTACTCCTGAGGAAGTAATAAACATAAATTGTGGAATCAAGTCCTCCAAAATTCTCTTTTCATTCAATCAAAACTCCCCTTGAATTCAATGGTAAGGAAGGCTTCCCGAAGAGCAAACAAGCAGCTTGTCTTAAAGGTGGTATTAGCAGCAACAACAAATCCTCAATCTCTGTATCCTGAATTTGAAATAAATTGTTGCCATGTGAAAAAGTTCTGTTTTTGTGCAATATTAAGCTGCTACCTCTCTCTTCGGCCCTTTGCTTCCAAAGCTTGTAGTGCTCTGCATCTCAAAAGAGCTCAATAAAAGAGTAGAATAAAGATATGTGCACTTGAGTGTGATATGTGGGTTTGTGTTTGCCTACAGTTGAGGGATATCAAATAAAATTAATGGCTATGTTGTGTTTGAGAGGAAACTCTACAGCCATGTCTGCTACTTTCTCTGGCTCTCTCAAACTAAGGGCTAAATTCACAAAAGAGATTTAGTTTTTAATAATACTCAATATTGTGAGACATAACTTTTGGAGGCCCTGCTACCCTGTGGAAACTACAGACCTTATACAATACATGTGGAGAGCTAGGGGAGGAAGCTATTAAGATATATTATAGTATATAGTATGATACAGGCTATAATTGTTATATTTCCTAGGAGCTATTCAGAAATACCACTGAGAGTGCTGGGGGTGCCTCTTCCAACTCAGGATTCACAGCTGTGTAACCTCTCTTGAAGTTAGGAGCCTAAGCCAAGTCAGCCTTTCTCATGTAAAACTGAAGGTCTGCTGCACCTGTAAACCAAAAACTCCCTGGCTATTAGCTGCAATGTGGAAGAGCCAAATTCAAATCCCTCATCTCATTTGGAGCACTAATTTTAATTCAGGTCTCCTACCTCAGAGGTGAGTTCTTTAATCACAAAACTATTGGGAAGGCTTGAGTGAAGCCATCTCCGGTTGAAGCCACTCCACTTCATGTGACATATTTAACGATCAACTGGTTGTATTGCCTGGTATTTTTGCAAGATATCTTCTAGCTGTATTGGTCATAGCCAGAGATCCTTTGTTCTTTCTTGCTGTATAAAGACTGTTGTTCTCTTATCTTTGCTTTATTTATCCTAGATTCTCTACGTTATTTAGATGTTTAACTCCCTTAGTTCAATCTTGGTATTCAGACTTCATCATGAGTTTATGTGAACATATTTATGAAAGAATGGCAAACATCCTATCGAGGTCAATAAAACCAGGATTTCATCTTCCATGTCTAATCATTCTCTGACTCTTAGACCCCCAACTGCTTAACACATGGAGGGTTGTGTTAGTGTACGGAAGTGGTCTTTAATCATCATTGGGACGTTTAATATATATCTAGTCTTAGTCATTACTTTCCCATTGGATTTTCTTCTTTCTGCTTGCCTTCAGAGCAAGCTTTTTTTTAATTTCATCAGGCGTGGTTTTGGTTCCTATCAATGTTTTACTAGTCATCACAAGGACCTACAATTCCAGTTTCTCTCTCTACACTGCCTCTTTGCGGGGAGGGATGGTACACAATTCTATCTTTGCCATTTAATCACCTCTGGAGGATATTTAAATAATCAGAGTAGTTAGCTGATGTGGGAGGATTCACTCTGGCTCATTAAGGGTCTGACCCTCTCTCATAGTAAAGCAGAAAGATTATGAACTTTAAAAGACCTACTTTTCTGGATTCACTGCCAGGTAAGAGCCATTTGCAACAGCTTTCCAAGCCTTTCATGTAATTCCCATTCTCTATTAGAGACAGATGTTGCTCAAGAGCTGCTGTTTCAGGCTAAAAACACTTTCTCTTGCAATTTATATATCAATGTGCTAATAGTTTTAGTCAAATAATTAAAGTTGGGGGTGTGGGAGTTGGGAGGTGGAAATCATTTTATTCCTATTGCCAAATGTCTACAACCCTATTTGTTGACATTGTGTCCCCCTTTGGCCTGGTAAAATGGAAATTGCCTGCTAGGGGCTCTGCCACTTGCTTCATTGCTGCATTTCTCAGTCTTTAGAGTATTCATACTTTTTTCTAAAGTGGAAGACATTGGTCCCTAGTGATGCAAACATATCTCTTGCAGCTAGCTATCCAGCAGATTTTATTTGTCTTAAGATACGCCAGCACCTCTTCAGTGCCTATTTATGCCTGCTTTTGCGTACAGCGTTCCTCTTCCCAGCTATACTTTACTTTTTTGTCGGGGGGGTTGTTTTTGTACAGATTCACTTTGACTGTCCTCCTATATTCAAATATATGACCGCTCCTTCCAGCTGTATTTCTTATGAGTGTCCTTCTCATTCTTCAGACAAGGATTCATTTGTGTTGTTTGTTCCAATTCAATCCTGCTTTGGAAGTAGGATGGTTTAAACCAGGAGTGCCAAAGATACAGTCCACAGGCCACAGGGTCCTATCTTCTGGCCTGCAGTGCTGCCCATGGGTCCTGGAACAGACCCACAGGCCTCATGCTGTGTGTGCTAGAATGGCCCTGTATGCTGCATTTGGCACACAGGACTAAATGCAGCATGTGGGGTTGGGGCTGGCATACGCAGGGCCAGTCTGGGATGCATGCTGCATGTAGAGTGTAAGGCTGGTCCAGGGTGCACACTGCATGTGGTACCTGTGCTAGACCAGCTCTGCATACTGGATCAGGCATGTGGCTGGTCTGCAGGCCTGATCTGGCCCATTGACTTTCCCTATGCCACCCATCCAGCCCATTTGGTCCACAGGGCCTGATGAGCTTGACACCCCTAGGTTAAACCCTAAAATTCAACATGCCATATAAACCAGGCTGGGGGCAAGCCAGTGCCTCTACAATGGCTCTTGGCTTCTTCTGGTTCATGATAGCCTCTTGACAGTAGTTTCTGCAGAAGTTATACAGACAAGGGCTCTGAGAATCCATGGGGATAAAAGTAGGGTCATTCCACAGCATATCTTAGAAAGCTGTGGCTTCTGTTTTAGTAACACAAGACTGGAAAAGATCACTTGAGCCATCAACTCTCATTCCCTCTAATAAGAGGCAGCTATAATATTATTATTATTATTATGTATTTAACAACAACAAAAACAACAATACATTGTAATACTTTCACCCTGCCTCAGTCCCTAATGCCCCATAATAATTTCTATAATTCGGAGGAACATTCTGGTCTTGATTTGGAGCTCTTCTGTAAGCAATCAGTTTTTTGGCAATGATCATGAAAAAATTCCTCTGCAGAAAAGCAATAGCAGTAGGAAGCAGTTTTTGATGTTTAACAGGCTCTAGCAATGGTTGGAGACTTTCTCCTGAAATGGGTTGGCTTTGATGCAACTTTTGTTAGGAAGGTTTCTCAAGTCCAGGATGGAATTTCAAGGTCAAAAAAGAAAAAGGATGTGCCACCTCAGAACAGCCAAGAACCTGAGGGTCAGGCACCTGCTTGCCCTATGTGATACTTGGTTTCAAGTTCTTGCTCTAAGCAGGAACTTGTATTAGTTACTGTAGAGAGATGTATGTCTCCCACAGTCTAAATAAAGCCCTAAATACCAAGTTTTTGGGGGTAATTTTGTCTAAATCTGTATTCCTTTTTCTGTTTTTTTGCAAAAAAAAAAAAATAAAAAAGGAAAGTTGATTTCACCCCTGTAGAGAACAAAGACCTGTAGCATCCTCAGCATCTCTCGCCAACACTGAATTTTCATTTATTAGCTAACACTAATGAACATTACATGTATTCAAAAAGAAGATACTGAACGACCTTCCCAGGTTTGACATTGTTGACAGGCAGCCAATCCGTGGATCAGAATGACAGCATTATTTTATCATCCTTAAAAGCCTTTTTTGATTTCACTTAATTTCTTGACTGTAGAAAAAGCCCATTGTTTTTTTACTAAATGCTTTATATTTACTCTTCCCTGATGCTCTCACTCTGTACAATCAAAATGAGAGGTACTCTTGAGATTGAGTGCTTTGCTTTTTTCAGAGGATGCTGATATTAGCTCTCTATACCAGTTTTATCTCCACAGTGATGTTAAGTTCACCTCTCAGCGCCAAATAACAGAGTGATTTCCAAGCTGTCTTCAGCACTGAGGGCACAGTTCAGATCCCACTGGCCTCAATTGGACTGTTGCAAATCGACTCTGGTGGAACAAGGATTTGGATCTTAGTGTCAAAAATCCAAAAGGACGGGGGTGGAGAAAGGAGGAGAACAATGGACTTTGATAAGCTCATGAAGGGATTATATGATGTGGTTGCCTTTACTATCACGGGACTGGATAATGGCATAGTAAATCCTGCCCATTCTAGTCCAGCCCAGTCCATTTTCTGTTTTTCATGAGTGTAGCAAAGTTCTGATTTTCCTCTACAGTTGCACCAACTTCAAAGAAATGTACACAGGTCCAATTCTCTGAAACAACTCTGAACACAGGTAAAAATCTAACGTTATTTTTACTAAATTGAGAGGTAGTCAGGAAGCCATAATGCCACCTTACGTATCAGATATTGAATCAAATTATTGTCCTGTATTTTTATGTTGCCTTCCATCTTCCAAAAATCATAGTGAACTTTGCAAACTCTCCACTCAGAGAGCTCTATCATTGAAACAAAGCTGGTTCTGAGATGGAACTGAATCACAATGTAGGGCAGGAAGTAAAGAATACTACTCTCACTACTTTGACTCGAATAGTTAAGCAGTATGCCAGGCTTTGCCTGTTTGTTTCCATTGTGGTAACAAAGTGATAGCATAGATCAGGTATAGTCATTGTATAGCCATGTTAATTTACACAATATGCCCCAAAAGCCTGCTTCCCTGGACACAGTAGAAATATATCAGGCAGTTTCCTGATCCAAAAATCCCCTAGCCTGACTCTCAAAATGTGTTCTCTGCCTAAGAAGCCTTGTCCCTCTCAGAATTATACTCTAGCTCTTTCTGCTGGCTCTGTGCCTCCAGCACACAACAGATACACTAACTTCTGCCTATGATATGAGAATGAGCTTCAGTTCAAACAGCTGAATTCTCACCTCCTAGCAGGCATCGTGCTGAAATCCTCAGTTGTTTCTACAATTTAACAGGGCTTGATTTCTCTTTCTACTGAGCCTGAACGAATACCTGCCATCTCCAATGCTGAATAAGGGTTTGCCATTTGGTGAATAAATTCCCTGACAGGAACCATTTCTGCAAAACAATATCATATTCAACTGAAATGCCAATAAAAATAGTTGTTATCCAAACTGGCCTGCATACTGATAATAGTCAGCTTACTGTTGGAAAAAAATGAAGTCGACATGACTGTTTCATTGATGAGAGGCAAAGATATCTTTTATTGGACCAACTTTATATTTGGGATAGAGTTAGGCAAGCTTTCATATGCAAGATAATCTTCCTCGGGTCTTGTACCAGCTCTCTGACTTCAATCAGAGTAGGTCTGCTCAGAATTTCAAGGCTTTCAACAGAAGCTGCATTAGCACGAATGTAGGCTTTTCAGCAACCACCTTAACTAAAGCCTTCCATCTCCTCCTATCTTGCACAATCTCCTTCCACCTTGTTGCATCTTTGTATTCAGATCAGTTTTTGTTATCTTCCCGTCGTTCCCTACCTTGCGATCTGATACTCTCCACCTCTCACTCCAGAATCTGCCTCACATGCTGTCTCTCATCAGTTCTTGTGATATGCCCTGCCCATTTCATTTTCTGCACTCTTATCTTGCTCAAGAAATAAGTCTGTTTAGTATATAAATATATAGGATGAGATGGTTAATTTGTCTATTCTTTCCAATTCAGGAAGGAATCCCTATTCAGGAACATACTTAAGCGCATGTTGAAATTAAAGCATGTGCTTAACACCCTTTCAAACTATTGTGCTTTCCTAAATATCGGCATACTAATTGAAAATAGACTTAAGTGATTTCCAGTGAAAACACACAACTAAAATGATCACCATAATCCCTGGTGTTTGTTTGCCAAAGTATGAATCACTAGTATGCAAATAAAAATATGTGTAAAGGTAAACTCATTCATTACCAAAAGGGATATTACTGTTTTACTCTCTCAGTGGTTAGACTGCCTCCTGAGAAGGTGGTCTTCATGAACCAAAGTCAATATTATTTGTATTTGTCCTTGTTTTAGTATTAAAAGCAAAACTCAATGTCTTGACATTTTGGAAGGACCTCTACTTTCCACTGGTAAACAGTAGCTGCATGACTGACCCTGAAACACTAAAGCTTTGAGTCAGCTCATTTAATCTAAATCCACATGTATTTGTTCAGGTATTATATCCAAATTGGGAGTTAATTTTTCAATTCTGCTTTGACTAGGTGATTATGAAGAAGCCCACAATAACCAGCAAATTAGGCAGCTCTTTCAAGGGAGACTCAGGACTGCTGATACTGAACTGAATCAGGCATTTCTGAAGCACAAGAGGAAACCATACGAAACACTTGGAAACAAGGATTTTCAAGTTGAAATTGACTTGTCAGCGAGCAGGAATATGTTATTGTGAGAGGAAATCGATGCAGAGAGATTGCAAAGACCCAAACAGTAAACAGTCTGTAAATGAGCTTCTGTCTACTTTGTAGTCCGAGCCAAAAGACCGCTTGACATAATTTTCTAGGAAATCGGATGGTGTCAATTCTTAATCTGAATCATGTTGAAAACACCTTCTTATTTATGGATGAAGAATTGAACTTGCTGACATGCATGGAAGAAAGTATCTCAACAGCACAGCATATTCACAAACTATGAAAACAATAGGTACTGAATTCAATTGTTTCAACAATTCACTTGGTTACGCTAATTTTAGGGTGGAATAACTTTACTGATGAAATTTTACTAGGGAATGTGAAACTTTACTGGGGATAAAATTATCTGGATGCTGTGACTGACTGAGAAGATGCCGAACAACTACTAATGAAAATTAAGAGCTTTTTTTGCAAATGCCCGAAATCTTGGGACAGTACCAAGGAGATGTAGGAACTTTAAGTAAAGTCAGAAGGAGATGTACCTGGAGAGTGATGCTGCTAAGAATTCCATCAATAGTGGGAATGACATCCCTTTTACATCCTTCAAATGTTAACAGGAAAAATGTGCTTCCAAAATTTTTCTGTAACAGCAGCACCAAGCTCTATTGTTCAATCCAAATATGAAGCCAAAATCAAATCAGTAAGCCAAGCCAGAAAATTCCCTTGGCTCATTCTAGCAATTCTAGCCTGCCAAATTATAATTAACTATACTGGTTGTACTCCATATAAACATCATCATCTCTTGCATGTTCAGAATCATTGAGCTGCTCTCAAAGGAGACATTCACCAACTGCTGCGTGAGGTCATTTCCCTGTGCCATGCAGGTGGTTTTGCAACTTGATAAGATCTAAGCCCTGAGCTATCTGCAATTTATCCTTTTGCAGAGGTATTAGGGAGCAGACACATGCACTGAGCATGGAAAGCAAGCAACTCTGTCTCTTGAAGAGATTGTGCTAAACTTCTAATAATTTTTGCATTAAATACTATGACTTTTTTTCTAACAATTCTGCATGAAACAAAACCCAATGCTGATGTTCTTAACATACAATGTTCCAGGCCCAAGTGAGGGCTTCTAGGCAAGGAGAAAAAAAAGGGGGGAAATGACCAAGTACCAGAAGTGTAACCTATAGGAAGCATAATGTCAAAAACACTATCAATTGATACAAGTGCAACAGAGATCACATGGCAGACTCTTAAGAGTTCAAAGCCCAATGATACCTAAACCACAAGACAAAAAGTATATTAGATTACAATAACACGTTTCTGTCCATTGGTTGAGAAAGATAAGAGGTCATTTTAATCCCTTCAGCCCTCTGAGATGTTGTTTGCTAAGTTTTTAATGTTTTTGCTGGAATCACAGCTCTTTTGCTAATTAAAATGTTGTGAATTATTATATGCTATAAATGTATGAAGAGGACTTGGACAAGGACTAAGTAACTGAATCTTTCACAGACATTAGATCTAAAACTTGAGCCAGACCTTACCTTTAATTTTCTAGATGAGTGAGGCCAAAGTTACTTCAGTCGGTCATAAAATGAGACATCATTACTCAGAGTTCTCTCTCCTAGGAAAATAAGTATAGGAAAGACAAGCATTAGAGATGAAGTTTCAGTGACATTATCACTATAGCTGTTGCACAGAGATTTTGCTGGGACATTGGCAGCATTCAGGTAGTAATACAAACATGTATATAATGTGACTGCTGGAAGGTAAGAATAATCAGAATAATCCCCACTGTTTTCTGTCTGCTATGTGTTGTGAGGACAGAGCAGAAGAGCTGGAATGAAAGCCAGCGTGGGATATAAGATGTCTGCTTTCTAAGTAGACAACATCAAGAAACTGTTTTGGGGGGAGGGAGGGGGAGACAGACAGAGAGAATCAGGGTTGGGACTTTCTGTATTGCAGAAGTCATTGTATGAGATGATATTTAAAGCAAGCTAGCCCATTAACTGAATATTTTAAAGCCTGGATGAGTAAATTCTTATGGAAAGGATGCATCCTCACAGCATCTCATTGAGAGGCATTCAGCCACTACTGCAAATAGAAATCTGAAATAACATTGCTGAAACCCTCCAGCTGTATGATTATTTGTCTGTGTTAACCCAGTGCCAGGGAGGCTAAAGTGCAGAGGAAGCATCTTCTGGGTTTTCTGCCCAACAAACAACCCCTTGCTATCGACTGATGGCTGTATATTCAGTTCCTGATTTCAGTGCATTACTCCAGAATCACTCTGGTGTAACTAAGATTAGTGGTGCTATTCTAACTTATGCTGGGAGCTGTGCCAGTCCCTTAAGAGGCAGAGAATCCTGGAAATACAAAAACAGCATAAAGCTGCTTTTCAACCAACCCATACCCTTCAATACAGTAGATGCAGTTCAAAATCTGAATTTATCTCCTTAGGATTTATAATAGCCTTGTGTTCCATGAAATATTTTACTGGGTAAAATGATGAGTGCTGTTAACCTCTGTTTCCTAAAGTAAAACTTTACTCATTAAAAGGATACACTTCAGAGTTTTACTAGTGATTATAATTAATCTGAAAGACTTGTTCTTTGTATCTGCAACTTTTTTGTTTTCCATTTTTGTAGCAAAGCTTGTGATAAAGAATGACTCTAGAATTCCCAACTGCATATATGTTTAACATTTAAATACATATTCAATCATTTGTTCTGGAAAACATTTAAATGGTAAATAATAAATGTTAAAAGAATGCACCAGAATTATTTTTAACTATCCACATCAGGTTTTGCTGTTAACTAAAATATTAATAATGTTAACATTATACTGTCTTGCATTTGGTGCTATACAGATACATAAGGCAAGGGACAGACATTACACATATATTGGTTTAAGTGATCAGAAATTGGTTTAAACCTGTAACAGAACAGAAGTTCAGTGCACATAATCCAGTTCGAAAATGGTTGAAACCGGTTTGGCATAAACCTGGTTGAATGTAGTATCAGACTTAACCAATTTGGGTCAAACTGGTTTATTCAGTGTGTGTCCCAGAACCCCTTCCTGGTTTAATTTTAACCAGAGTACCCCAGCATCCCAGATGCTTTGCAGCCCTGGGAGGGGCTGTCTGCTCCAGAGAACAGGGCTGGTCCTAGCTTATGAACTAAGGAAAGAAACCAGTGAAGTATGGAACTAGTTAGGAATGAGATACAATTGACTGTATATGTCCTGAGTGTCTACAAAGTGCTTGAAAGATAAAAAAAAAAAGCTTTGGCAGCATATGACAGCAAGAGGCATTCATTTGTAACATAAACTTGTTAAACCTTGTTCTATCAACCAGAAGAACAAGGCTGAACTGGCAGTATATTTATACCTAAAAAATGCATTTCACAAGGGGAAAAAAAGGCGCACACATGAGGGGGAAAATATCAAATCTGTTTCTTGAAAGGAAAATGTGTGAATCACTGCAGGATCGAAGTTAGGCCGACCTCCAAATAAAAAATTACATTCTTTAGTGTGTAACATTTGGATTCAGTTTGAATACTGCATATTTGGACAGCAGCATGCACATTCAGAGTGAAGGTGTAGAAAGCTGACTGTGGGATTGTCAAAGACAGTTATTGTTTTCTAAGTATGACTTATAAAATAATTTATTTCTGGTTTTCATTCAGGTCCCAATCCTAGAACAACTGTAGCACAGATAGACTCCTGCATGCCTTTGAGTTCAGTGGATCTCTACATAGGCTTTCCGTCCATCCAATACACATGTCAATACAGCAGGTTTAGTTCTCGCAAGTAGGCCAGCAGAAACTGGGTTAAAATAATCTATTTAAAGGGTTAAGAAGGACTCACAAGGGACTAGGCATACAATCAGTGTTTTCTTTAGAATCAAGTAAATTCAAGTTAAAATCAAACTTTCTCAGAATATTCCAAGGCTCCAGAGACATGAGGTATCCCATGCACCCAATTAGTGCCTTAATGCAGGCTCGTTTATAGTCATCTGAAGGTCTGATGCCCGAAGCTGGGTCCAAAACCATACAAAAACACTTTGTTTAATGCAATTTGAAAGAGAAACCAGCAGTCACTCTAAGTCAGTTGAAACAACCTTGAAATGCCACTCAGGTTCATTTAATTTAGGGCATTTGTACACATGCTTGGTACACATTGAAGGTGTTTTAGTTCAAAAGTGTGCCGCTGCCGTTTTCTTAGTGTTATGTGCATTTCACTATTTATACAAATGCATGAGAGATGGTGCCAGGTGCGACAGCTTGCATGCAGAGACAACTCGATTAATCGAGTCTGCTCTGACATGCCAGATCTCTGGTGCATCAGAGCAGGCAAATTAATGTGTATAAATTGTCTTAGAGACTGAAGACCCCTCAAAGATATCTCTATTCATTGAGCTCTCATCACGCTCGTTCTAAGCGTGAAGTCAAGAGCCTTGAATTGGGCTTTGTTTTTAGGGAGCTGAATTCATACAGAGAATTATTTGGAGAAAATATGTAAATGAGAACATTTGATAAAGCTCCTTATTTATCCTATTGCTAATATTTTCAAACCTCAGACTCAAGTGAAGCTGCTAAATCCATATTTCAAAACCTCAGTAAGTCACCTGATTGTTAGAAACACTGAACACTCAGGCTAAAGACAGGCATTACACACACATTGGTTTAAGTGATCAGAAACTGGTTTAAACCTCTAACAGAACAAATGTTCAGTGCACATAAACCGGTTTCAAAATGGCTGAAACCAGTTTGAGATAAACCTGGTTGGATATAGTATCAGACTTAACTGATTTGGCTCCAACCAGTTTATGCAATGTCTGTCCCAGACCCCTTGCAGTTTTAAGTTAAGCCAGACTCCCCCAGCATCCTGGCATGCTCTCTGGGCTGAGCTGGGCTGGGTTCTCTGCTCCACAACAGAGCTGGCCCCTCCCCTCTGCTCTCTGTATGGCGCTCAGTAGAGACTGTAGGTATAGGCCTGGCTTCCCCTTGCTCCCCCCATCCCATCACCACTCCCTGCTAAGCAGGGACCCCCTGTCCCCTCTGCCTTACACAGACACCTCAGCATTAGCTAGCAGACCACATGCTGGCTACGGTCTGTGCTGTGTCAGATGGGCCAAAGGCAGAATCAACAGGTAATGGGTAATGTTCCTCTGTTGTTTTCTTAATGGGGTGATAAACACTGAGTTAGGGGTGATAAACGCTGTGTTATCAATTCCCTACTGGGCTGGTCAGAAGGGGGGAGGGGGAACCCCTCCCTAATCAGAGCGTCCTGCTGAGGCCTGGCCACACCCCCTCAGCTCAGCACTGTAGATGGGAAGGGAGGGCTGCTCTAGCACCCCCTGGCTTCTAGCCTGAGCCACTGCAGGCATGTGCTTGCATTTCTGGGATGTCTGTGCAGTTACAAACTGATTCAGCCTAGCCAGGTTAGACTAACCTACAAAGATTGAATCAATTCCGGCATAGGCTTTTTGAATATCTGTCCCTAGCCTCATAGACATCATAAGTATCTGTGGGAACTGCAGGTGCTTAGTATTTTTGAAAATCAGGCCATTTTAGTACCCAAATATGGTAACCAAGGTTGATAATTCTGATATGCAGTTTTTTCTGGAATTTTCAAGTAGAATTTGAGACAGTTATGCCCACAACCCCACTATATCCCCCAGCCTTTATTTCTCATAAAATTGAAATCAAGATGCAATAACTTCAATAGATACTAAGAGTGATTTGTGATTAATAGAAAAACACTAAATTTACAGGTTTAAATGGCTCCATTATTATGAGAAATAAAGGTATATTCTTCAAAGGATATGCCAATTCCATTAGCATAATCTAGTTCCTAGCATATACACTGGGAATGTCTACATGTGCACTTTAATGTGCATTACCCAATTTTAATGCCCATTAAAGTGTCACTAAAAAAACCATGCTATTTAGTTAATGTGCATTAAAGTAGGCTAATGTACATTAAACATCATTTAAAAAACATGGGTGCCTGTAGACGTGCGGGGGGGCTTCTCCGATGCACTGCAATTACAATGCAGCAGAGCAGACTCGATTAATAAAGTCTGCTGAGTGTGCTAAGTAGCACACCCCAGCAGCCTCTGCACCTCATGTAACAGTGTCCCTATGCTTTAAAATGGCAGTGGGGGCACTTTAACTATAGCTTGTTCAACAAGCCCCCGCCACCAATTTGAAGCATAGATACTGATACATGAGACACTGCAGGTGCTTTAATTAGAGTGACTCTTGGAGCCACTCTTGGAGCCACTCTAATTAAAACACACACATCCCCTGCCCCTGGAGCATGTGTAAAAATGCCCTATGGTCTTTAGTTAGTATGCATTAAGACAGGCTAATGCACATGTTTCTAGTATCTCACAATGGGGATACTGGATTTAGTATGCATGAACTAAAAAATGTTAATGCACATGTAGACACAGCCACTGACTTTTATCCCAAGTATGGGTGAAGAAAGTTCTGGGTCTTTGGCACTGCAGCGAGTTACTACGATAGTCTCAAATAATGGTGGATTTTCTTTTGTTGCAAAAAGTGGATGATCTTTTATATTTTCTGCTACCCACA